CAGAGGGGGTCACTTCAGAGTCACGTAGATCTGCCGGACCCTCACGACGCGCAGCGGCCGCCAGATGTTTCCCGATTCGGCTGCTCGGGGCGCGCTCCGTGATAGCGATCTTCGTCCACGTGGGGGCTGACTGGGCTCTCGGCGCTGTTGGCTCGCAGCACGTCTGGACTCGCGCCTGCGCGAGCGACTTGCGTTGTCCCCCACAGCACGTCCACGGGCTTCGGCCTCGGCGCCACCTGCAGCGGCAGCCGCTGGACTGCCATGAGCCACTTCGGCTCGTGCTGCAGCCTGGGCCGTCGTGGCAGCAGCAACTGCTGGGTTGCCTCCTGTGGCCACCGCTGGGGCTGGCGCTGCCGCCTGGGCAGGCTGCTCCGCGATCGCCGCGCGGGGCTGCGGCACGGGGACCTCGACCCCACCCCCAGCCTGCATCTGCAGCTGGTGGATGACGCCCTGGAAGCCCTGCAGCTGCGCCATCATGGCGGCGATCTGGGCCTGGTGCGCTGCCAGGGGGGCCGACATAGGCAGGACACCTCCCGCTGCCCCCGCGGCAGCAGCCCGGGCGCCAGGCGCCCAGCCCGCAGGCACAGCAGCAGCAACCGCCCTCTTTGGAGGCTTCTTGGCGGCCTCCGTCTCGGCCTTCAGCTCCACGATCGTCTTGTTCATGTGCTCGAGGTCGCGCTGGGCCAGCTCGACGTCGAGGATCGCCTGCTTCGCCTTTGTCTGCAGGTCAACCTTCACCTCTTGCGCCTTTGGAGGCGGCGCTCGGCCATCTCGCGGGCCTCCTCCTGCTTGCCGAGCTGGGCCTTCAGACCCCTCGCGCTGAACAGCATGGGCAGCGTCGGAGCAAACTCCAACACGGCATGGTCGTAGCTCTCGCCAGCGTCGTATCTGTCGAGGATAATCGTATTCAAGGCTTCCAAGCGTGCCGAGACCTGCTCCTTGTACCGTAGGTCTCTAGCTCCGCCTCGGATGCCTGGGTCCCAAGAGGCGCCCTCCGCCGGGGACGCACGCGAGCAACCTGTGGAAGAGCACGACGAATGTGGAGCAAGTCCTTGGCCGAGCGGTGCTCGTCGCCAACGGGCATCATCGTCCGTTCGGACGCCTCCTTCGCCGGGTCCTTGGCTTGTGAGCTTCCAGACGTAGACGCATCTCGTAGGGCCAGTGTAGCTTTCTCCTTGCCAGCTGCCTAGTCCTTGCTCTTGCCCTTGCCACGGACGCCATCCTGCGACGGAGGTGCACTACCAGGACGTCGAGGAGGTTTGCGCCAGGGAGGGAGATCTTGCTTGGGCGAGCCACACTGGCGGCAGTCCACGCAGTCGTGCCATTTCTTGCAAGAGCAGACTCCACAGGGCCACGGCGGCCCAGCAGGAGCCCACGAGACGGCGGACTTGGATGTGAATCTCTGGTCGCACTCGTGGCTGTCGACTGTGATGCTGTTGTAGCAATCGTCGAGCCGCCTCCACGTGGAGGAGGACGCGAGCGCGGGCACGGTCCGCTCTGGTCCGTCGATGCAAAGCAGGCTTGCGAGCCCTGCCCGCGTGGCGGGGGCCAACGCAGCCGCGAAGCAGCACTATGGCGGGCTGTTGGCGTGCGGCGCGTTGCGGCTGTCCTCCATGTGAGGGGCCGCTACCTGGGAGCACCCAGGCCCCTCGAACCGGGACGGCGGCTAGGAAGGAGGTGGAGGAGGAGCGCAGAAAGGTTGAAGACATGAGCGCCCACCTAGACGCCGCCGTTGTGCTGGCCGCGGCGGACACGCTGGCGTCGCCGACGATGGGTTGGGGCCGCCTCGGCATTGTGGTGTTGTCGGCGCGGGCGCTCAAGGTTGATTGTCCTCAGAGGGGCCGTTTCGGTCCCAGGGTACCACTTGTGACCAGCCGCGGCACGTAATCCATCACGCAGTACGTCGGGCAACGTCGAGGACCTCTCGGGCCCTCGAAATTTAAACCAGTGTTAAGTCTGCGAAATTTAAACCAGTGTTAAGTCTGCGTCATCTCGTCTCGTCGTCGTTCTCGTTCGTCGTGGTCCGCCGTGGTCGTCGTGGGGCTCTTTTGGGGACCTCGAGGCCTCGTTGGCGAGGCCTGCGCCCGTGCGCGCAGCAACGCCAAGGCCCCCACGCGCAAGACCCAAACAACCGACGCGCAAGGCCAACACAACCGACGTGCAAGGCCAACATCCTCACGCGCAAGTCCCAAACCCGAGCGCGCAAGGCTAACAAACAAAACTCCACAGGCCCAGACCATCGTTTTGGTCTCTGGAGGTTCTTTTCGGCCTTGCGCCTTGCAGCCCGAGTTCTCTGGGCCCTAGGGAATTCAAGAACGCATGTAAACCCACCCAAGGCACAGGACTTGGGGTCTTTAGCGTGGGATCGGCTACGCGAAGGGGCCGCCCTTGGCCAGAGTGAACTTTGGTGCGGGCCAGCAAGGGTTCCCCCCTCGTGCGCTTAGACCTGCCGCCGCAAAACCTCGCACCAAAGGCCACTGTTGCCTACGGTCTCCGGTGTGTGCATCCGAGGGACGGAGAGTGGGCAAAGCGCAGGGTTTCGCCGTGCACGCTGGTTGGGCCGAGCCCGTTTCGGCCTGCGCTGGGGCGCGCCAGCGGGATCGGCGCGCCCACGGTGGTGGGAGCAAGCAGCTCCGCTTGCTCCGAGGCCCTGTCGGCAAACTGCTGCCGCGCTGGTGGATCGGCAGCATCGTAGGAGTCGGTGGGAACATCGACCGCCGATTCGAGTCTCGCCGTGCTGAGATTCGACGCATCGGCGCCTTGTTTCACCTTGCTCGCCCACTGGTCTTCCGTGAGGCAGGCCCTGGGGGACCTCCAGGAACGTCCAGGGTCCATTGGGAGGAGGGTCCTGGGAGGTTTCGAGAGGGCTTTGAGCAGTCCCAGTGGACTTCTCTTCCTGTTCCTTCCCCATCTCCCGGGGTTCTGGGATTTGCCGCATTCTTGTGTCTCTGGCCCCGCTTCTCCTCGTCATCGTTGATATCATCATTACCTTTCTCTTCGTTCAGGTCTCTGTGACTTTTGATTTTCCCAGCAGCGGAGCAGGATCTTTCTCCGCAGTCGCTGCCAAACATCGTGGTCTTCTTTCGCTTGACAAGGGATGAAGTCTTCCCCGAGACGCCTCCCTTCTTTTTTCCGTTAACTGTCGTGCTTTTCGTCACCTCCATCTTCCAGTATTATCTTTCCGCGCATAGTTCGGATGATGAAAGACGCATGGCAGCATCACCACTGGCGGAAGGCTATTCTGTTCTATTCAACTTCTGTGCGTGGTGACCAGCTGCTGTGCGGGCGCGCGACACACAAGCACAATTCAGGGAACCCACCACCAGGCATGGGCGGCAGTCTTCCTGTGGGCTCCCCCGGCGGGCTCCCAGGCTGAGCAGTGCTCGGGCCTCTTGCCTCTTGGCGTTCCTTCATTGCCCCGCCAACAGTCGGCGCATGCGCTGTCTGATCGGCGGGCGTGGGCTCCCCCTGTTGTGGCCTGGCTCTCTCGCGACTCCCAGGGTCGTTCGCGACGAAGAAAACCAACGGTGGAAGGCATGGTTCTCGATCTTCCCTCCTCGCTCTTGGTTCCTTACTGCTCCTTCCTCCCCCTCCTTCCCGGGATTTGGTGGTCGCGCCTCGTCGCGATTTCGATGTTGTTGCTGCTTATATTTCAGAGGCGATTCCAGTACTGGTCTTAAGGCACAGGCGAACTTTGGTTTCCAGTTCGTTCTGGCGCGCGCATTTCCAAGTCCTTCAATTCGCTTGGTACGCGTACGGTGACGATCTCCCGATCAGAGGAAGGGTGGCGCTGCATGTCTCCTCGTATTTCACGTGTATCCAAGGCTGGTGCCCAGTGTTTTAGATGCTCTCGCGATCGGAGTCGCCTGCGCACGGAGCTCTCCAGCTATCACATGGCCGCCGGCAGCCGCCGAAAACCGCCGGAGACCGCCGAAGGTCGCCAATAGACCAGCAAGCACCGCCGAAGACTGCTCAAGGCCGACGGGTAGCCAAGGGGTCCACGGTCGAGCACGTAGCATCACCACATTGGCGAAGAAAGAGAACGGGGTCGTTTGCGCCGACACTGGCGCGTAAACTGCCCGCGTAAGGTCACGCGTAAGCGCCCTCGTCTCCAATGTGGCGTGCCGCGCTGGCGGCCCGCGTAAGCCGCGGCGTAAGGTTCCTATGTTACCTAGCGTAAGACCCGGCTGCGATCGCCGCTCACATGGGGTGATAGGGGGGCAACAGCGGCACCGACGACGGCAGCGGCAGTGCCTCCTGCAGTGGCGAGGGCGAGAACGAGGAGGCAGCATCAGCAGGAGCGGCAGCTGCCCGATGCAGCAGGGCTGGAGGTGCATGGGGCGGACGTGGCGGCGTCACATGTACACCCGCTTACGCCGATCCTGGCCAGGTGGAGCGGGGGCCCCATGGAGCGGTGCATACGCCTTCCTGGCCGAGTGGGGGATCGATTGCAGAATTGATTTATCCCAAAATTGTTTTTTCCCGCCGAATCTGCGAAAAGTGCGCATAAGGCCCTGCGGTTCTACGGACATTCTCTACGCGTTTCTTGCATATTCGGGGGGAAAGCCAATCTTGGAGTATATCATTTGTGTAGTCGATCCCCTATCCGATTCCTGGCCGAGCCAGGGGGGCGAACGGACCGATCCTGGGCCCAGGATGGGCCTGGCCAGGATCGGTGCAGATAGCAGTTGGCGCCGTCCCAGGGAGTATGCAGGAGGCACGAGGGGGAGGGGTACGATATGCCCTCGACCGGAGCAGGCGGCCCCCGCAGCCGCGCCGTTCCCAGGCATCCGATGTCTTGAGTTTCTCAGCACGGGGCCCCTCGAGGCCCGCACCTGTTCCCCAGGGCCAGCTCTTTGTCCCGAGTCGTCTCGGAACGGTCCCGGGGCCCGGCGAGGGCCATCCAGAGGCCGAAAGCTGCGAGAAGCCTCTGCCCCGAGGTGCTCGAGACGTTAGGATGTCCGCGCCTGGCCGAGCGCGAGCCCGCACGCGCCCGCCAGGCCATGGCCGCCCCAGCCTTCTTCAACCCCACGGCGGGTGGCGCTGGCGCGGACTCGGGCCCTGTGGCGCCGCCCGCGAGGAAGGGCCCGCGGGAGCAGTCGCGCACGGTGATCGCCCAGGCGCTGGCCGCCCGGCCGGGCCAGGCGGCCGTCGGCGGTTCAGAGATGGTTCCCAGAGGGATTTCCAGACAACGCTCGCGTCGTGAACAATATCACGACGGAAGGTGTTTGGCTGCTGTTGGCCTTCGGGGGCGTCCTCGCCGAGCCCCGCAGGCCGTCAGGAAAGGACCCGGGACGACACGCTGGCCCTCGGGAAAGGGTCGGGGCTTCCGCGGACCCCGTCTTGGGTCTTGAGAAGAAGACAGGGCATCGCATGTCTGGGTTGGCGGCTACTTGTAAGAGTGACCCTTCGCCAGGGTGACCTTTGTGCGAGCCTATTGGGTTCTCCAGATCGCCGAATGCGATGCGGTGGCAGCGGCCTGCGCGCTTGGGCCTGGCCGCCCCGCGCCCCCCGACAGCCGCGCACCAAGGGCCACTCTTGCCTAGGGTCACTCCTGCGAGCAGGCGGCTGAGGAGAGGGGCCCTGAAGATGGGAAGGGATTCCAGGTTGAATTCACACTGTCTGAGGCCCCTCGTCCACACGGCCCCATCCCTGACGGCCCCATCTTTGCATCGCCGAGGGATTCCAGGCCTCCCCACTGGGGTCCGAGTGGGTGGAGTTGGAGGATCGCGCCGCATCGCTGATGCGGCTCGATGCGGAGCTGGTATTCTCCGCCCCGATTGCGCTGGTGCATCGCCAACGTCGCCGGTGCATGGGCGATGCATCGGCGATGCATTGGCGATGCTGCGCGATCCTCCGACCCGATCCACTGCCTCCATGGATGGGGCGCTGGGGCCAGGAAGGGATCCAAGGTCGAATTTACACTGATGGAGGCCCCTCGTCCTCGGGGCCCCGTCCTGAGAGCCTCATTTTTTCCCAATAGCGCTTCGCTAGAGGGGAACAACTCATGGACACTCCCCCCTTTTCCCCAAATTCAAAGTTGGCACCCGCGGAGGAGACTGCAGTCGAAGTACAATTCTTTACGCTTCGCGTATCCCCACCAGCCCATCTCACAACAGCAACTCTTGCGAAGCATGCCGACAGTCGTGTTTTTCAGGCGTGTGTCCGCTTGCCCCCGCATATCTCCCCTGTTCCTCCTTCCTCCCGCCTCCTTGTACAATTTCCTTGTGGGGGGAGCGGGAGATGGTCGAGGCGAAGGAGGAGGGAGAGAAAGCTCTCGTGCTGGTGTGAGTCCTTCGGGCCCTTCTTCCTGGTGTGAGTCGTTCGGGCTCTTCGTGGTGTGAGTCGTTCGGGCTCTTCGTCCTGGTGTGAGTCGTTCGGGCTTCTCGTGGTGTGAGTTGTTCGGGCCCCTCGTCCTGGTGTGAGTCGTTCGGGCCCCTCCTCCTGGTGTGAGTCGTTCGGGCTCCTCGTGGTGTGAGTCGTTCGGGGCCCTCGTCCTGGTGTGAGTCGTTCGGGCTCCTCGTGGTGTGAGTCGTTCGGGCGCCTCGTCCTGGGTTGAGTCGTTCGGTCTCCTCGTGGGGCCTCTTGGGGGCGTCGTGGAGGCTCTCGAGGCCTCTTGGGGGCCTCTTGGACGTCTCTTGGGGTCCTCTTGGGGGCCTCTTGCGGCGTCTTGGGGCTTTTTGGGGGCCTCTTGGGGGGCTTTTGGGAGCCTCTGGGGGCGTCTTGGGGGCCTCTGAGGGGCCTCGTCCTTTCTTGTGTGAGTGCCTCGGGCCCCTCATTGTGTGTGAGTCGTTCGGGTTCCTCGTAGTGTGAGTCGTTCGGGCCCCTGGTCCTGGTGTGCGTCGTTCGGGCCCCTCCTTGTGTGCGAGTCGTTCGGGCTCCTCATGGTGTGAGTCGTTCGGGCCCCTCATCCTGGTGTGAGTCGTTCGGACCGCTCGTCCTGGTGTACGTCGCTCGGGCCCCTCCTTGTGTGTGAGTTGTTCGGGGTCCTCGCGGTGTGAGTCGTTGGGGCCCCTCGTCCTGGGGTGAGTCGTTCGGCCTCCTCGTGGGCGTCTTGGGGGCCTCTTGGAAGCTCTCGGGGCCCCGTGGGGGCCTCTTTGTGGTCTCTTGGGCGCCTTTTGGGGGCCACGAGGGGCGTCTTGGGGCTTCTTGGAAGCCTCTTGGGGGCCTCAGATGGGCCTCTTGGGGCCTCTTGGGGACCTCTTGGGGGCCTCGTCCTTCCTTGTGTGGGTGCCTCGGGCCCCTCATTGTGTGTGAGTCGTTCGGGTTCCTCGTAGTGTGAGTCGTTCGGGTTCCTCGTAGCGAGAGTTCGCGTCTGTGTGCGTTGCAGATATGTGAGTCGTTCCAGCTCTTCGTGGTATGAGTCGTTGGGGCCCCTCGTCCTTCCTTGTGTGACTCCTTCGGGCCCCTCATTGTGTGTAAGTCGTTCGGGCTCCTCGTGGTGTGAGTCCCGTCCTTGTGTGTGAGTCGTTCGGTCCCCTCCTCCTGGTGTAACTCGTTCGGGCTCCTCGTGGTGTGAGTCGTTCGGGGCCCGCGTCGTGGTGTGAGTCGTTCGGGCTCCTCGTGGTGTGAGTCGTTCGGGCGCCTCGTCCTGGTGTGAGTCGTTCGGGCCCTTCCTTGTGGTGTGAGTCGTTCGGGCTCCTCGTGGTGTGAGTCGTTGGGGTCTCTCGTCCTGGTGTGAGTCGTTCGAGCTCCTCGTGGGGCCTGTTGGGGGCCTCTTGGAGCCTCTTGGGGCGTCTTGGGGGCCTCTTGGGGGCCTCTTGGGGGCGTCTTGGGGGCCTCTTGGAGCCTCTTGGGGCCTCTGGGGGGCCTCTAGGGAGCCTCTTGGGGACCTCTTGGGGCCTCTTGGGGGCCTCTTGGGGGCCTCCTGGAGGCCTCTTGGGAGCCTCCTGGGGGCCTCTTGGGTCCATCTTGGAGCCTCTTGCGACCTCCTCAGAAGCGCAAATGAGCGCTGCCCCCTGATTTGACCAAAATGAGCCCAAAACCTTCGTAAAATCAATGATTTTGCTATGAAGGAAAGGGAACGCGGCCCCCTCAGAAGGCCAACATGAGGCCAACACCGTAGTAAAATCAATGATTTTTGCTTCAAAGACGAGCTGAGGCACCAAACTCCCCCCCCCCCTCGGGGCCAGAATCCTCGTGAGGGTCGTCGTTTTTTGGCCCTCCCAGGCGTCGAAAAAGACCCCCCTGACGACGCTCGGAACTCCCTCTCCAGGTCCAGGGGGAGGGGGTAGGGGGAGGGGTAAACCCCTCCCCGAAGGGGAAGAAGGGGGGTTGAGGACAGAGAGAGCTCCCTAAACCACTCACGCCCAAAGGGCTGGTGGGACTCATCAGACCCACCGCCAACTTTGAACATTGGGGGGAAGGGGAAGCGTTGACAGATTAACGTGGCATGAGTGTTCGCTATTTTTTTCCGAGGCCTGTCGAGGTAACAGGGCAACATAAGAGTCCCCCCCGGGGGTTGGCTCAAGCTGTTTCTGGCAAGAGTGCGCGAGAGAGGATCCCAGCGCACCAGAGCGCCCATATGGGTTCGGCACGCAAGTCCCCCCTGGCGGCGGCGGTCCTGCTCGGGGTGTTCATGTGGCCCGCGCTCGGCACTGTCTGCCCAGACGACGCCGACTCAGACCTGTGCGACGCAACCACGACGGACCCCGACGAGGAGCTGCCCACGAGCGGCGCGTCGAGGTCCGCCCCGCTGGTTCTCTCGCTCGCGCTCGCGCTGTCCGGCCACAAGCACCAGTCCGCGGCCGCACTGGGGTGGCTCGCGGCGCTTGGCTCGGTGCCGATGGCCGTCGGCGCCGATAGCCCCGCTGGCTACACGTGCGGGGCTGTGAAGGACATGTACAAGGATGCGGGGTGCTGCGGCCAGCCGGATGCAACCTTCGACGTCGCCAACTACCAGATCATCCCGGCGCCAGACACGAGCGTCATCACCACGGCCAACCCATGCGAAGGCACGAAGCCGACGGCCTCCGGCTTCGACAATTTCCCTTGCGCCGACGCAATCGTTGGTGCCGTCGAGCAGGCCGGCGCCAATGTCACCGAGGGCTACATGGGCGGCATGGCCGTCGATGCCACACCTTGGAACCTGACGTACCTCGAGGGGGGCCTCTGCCCGGTCAACGTGCACTGGCACTACGGAGCCGAGCACCTTTCCGTGGGCCAGTTCGACGAGGACGGCACCGGCAGGAATTTTTCCGAGGAGGATGATGGCGGAGAGGACCTGACGCGGCGCCTGGCCGTAGCCCGCCTCGGCTTCCAGTGCCACCACTTCGACGAGGCCGACCCCAAGTTCACAACCGAGTACGAGTGGGCGTACTGCGTCGGCATGCACGTCGGCGAGACCTACGAGGTGCACTGGCCGCACTCGGCCGCCGGCGCCTGCGGCACCCCGTTTCAGTACCAGACGCCCTTCTACGATGGAGTCTTCTGCAGGGGGGGGACCTATCTTGCCGGAGAGCTTCAGCACAAGGTCGGGGTGCAGGCGCAAGTGTTCGTCATCGTCAACGACGAGGACTACTTCTACCCCGACCTGATGAGAGGCATGATCATGGACCCGCTCGGCGCCCAAGGATTCGGCGCAGACATCGCCTACTACACGGGCTCGACCACAGGCACGAGCCGCGACAACGAGATGTGTTCTGCGTACAGCCCCATCACTTGGCAGGTCGACCGCAAATGCCACCTCATCTCTGCTTCATCCTTCGACAAGATGTGTGCAGACATGCTGCAGCAGAAGGACGACATGAGCGATGATCTCCATGCGCACGGGGCCCGCGAGCTCGTCAGTGACGAGTTGGCGGCCGACAACCTGCAGCGTTTGTAGGTGCATCTCGCGTGACATAGTCCTGCAAAGCGCGACGAGCCTCGAGGCCCGCAGCTGCCGCCCTGTTGACCCCAATGCGGGACAATCTCGACCACTTTTGCCCCCTGGGCTGGTGGAATCTTGCAGGACTCAGCGCGCGGCCTCTGTGGGGCTCTCATTCTTTTCGGCGCTCGTTTTGGTGGAGGTTGTTTTTGTTGCGGATCTGTATCTTCTTAGCCCTCCCCGTGTCCCCGCCTTCCATACCCTGGCCTTCTTCGGGACTCGAGCTGCATGACTGCATGGCTCACCTAATTC